AATCCTGGGAACCTGTGAATGAATGAGCTATAAGTCCTCTGATAATACCATGATATCTAACACAGTTGACCTTAAGAAAGAGACATTATCCATGTGGACCTGATCTTATCACATGAGCCCTTAAAAGCAGAAAGCTTTTTCAGGCTGATGGCAGAAGAGGAAAGCAGAGGAGAGAGTCAGAGAGATCTGAAGCATGCCGAATATTTGATATTTGAATGTGGTGGAGGCCATTGTACGAGGATTGGAGAGCAGACACAGGAGCTGAGAGTGACCCTGGCCAACAGTGAACAAGGGAACATGAACCTCAGTCTTAGAGTCTAAAAGGACTGGACTCTACCAACAGTTACAATGAACTTGACAGTGGATTCTTTCCTTAAGCCTGAAGATAAGAACCCTGCTTGGCCAACACCACGATTTTGGTGTTGTGGTACCCTGAGCATAAGACACCAGGCCAACCCACCTGGACTTCTGACCTAAAAAACTGTGAACTATTAAATTGATGCTTTAAGCTACAAAGTTTGTGATATTTGTTTTGTAGCACAAACAACCAATACGTTAGCTAAAGATCTCCATTTTATTCTTTTAATGGTTGCTCTAGGATTTACAATATACGTCTTTAACTTATCATTGTTTACTGACAAACATTATGCCACTTTATATATAACTAAGAATGCAATAGTGTATGCTTTTCATTCCTTCCTTTTTGTCCTTTGTGCTATTGTTGGCATAATTTTATTTCTAAATACGTTTAAAATCTCATAATATATTATGTTTTTGCTTCAGTCAATTATATTTAAAAAATAAATAAATTATAAGATAAATCTTTTATATTTCTCTACATATTTACTATGTTGGCATTGCCATTGCTTTATATAGATTTAGATATATTTGATATCATAGTGTCCATTTCTTTCACTTTTTTTTGCAATGAAAGCTTATTGACAGTGACTTCTCTCAGCTTATGTTTGTCTGAGAAAGTCTTTCGCCCTAGACAGTTTTCCTTCCTGAAAGAACTTTAAGTTTATCATTTCATTATCTTCTGGCTTGTGTTATTTTACACAAGAAGTTTGAGATATTTTTCATCTTTACTTTTCTGTATATGTTGTCTTTTTCCTCTAGTGGCTTTTAAGACTTCCTCTTTAGCACAGATTTTCAACATTTGATTTCACATGCCTGTTGTTTTCTTTGCATGTACTCCTTTGTTTAGCTTCTTGAATCTGTGGGTTTACAATTTTCAAGAAATTTGGGAAAACTTCAGCCATCATTTTTTTAAATGCTCTTTCTACATAACACCCTGCTCCTTTAGGGTAACAACACACACATGTTAGTCTGTTTGGCACCTTCTCACAGTTCACTGAGATTCTGTTAATTTTTAAAATCTTTTTTTTCTCTGATGCATTTTGGATAGTTAATAGTGCTGTGTGTTCAGTTTTTCTTAAACTTTTTTTATTGAGTTATAGTCATTTTACAATGTTTTGTCCAATTCCAGTGTAGAGCACAATTTTTCAGTTATACATGAACATACATGTATTCATTGTCACTTTTTTTTTTTTGCTGTGAGCTCAGTTTTTTAATCTTTTCTTCTGTAGTATCTAATCCAGTATTATTCCTACCCAGTGACTTTTTAATTTCAGGTAATGTCTTCTTACTTTTTAAATGTTCAATTTGGTTCTTTAAATTTTCTTTTCAAATTATTTTTATTTAACTTCTTGATTTTATTTAATTTAGTTGTTTAATGTTCTTGTCTGCTAATTCCAATATTTCTGTATGTTTTTATTGAATGCATTTCCTCTTGGTTAAGAATTTCCTACTTTTTGGCATATCTGGTAATTTTTGGTTATTTGCTGGGTATTGTTGAATGTGTAGATTTTATCTTCCTTTAAAGAATGTAGAATTTTGTACATTAGTTACTCACAGATCAACTTGATTTTTTTGAGGCTTGTTTTTAAGTATTTTTAAGTTTGATCTAGAGTAGCCTATATTTCAGGACTATTTTAGCCCCACTGTTTAGTATGAAGAATCTTGGGTCTCTACTGAATGCCTGTTGTAGTCAACAAGGCGTCTCTGTTTGATTGGTCAGAACTTGAATACCTGTTCATTCTGAGTGAGCTCTCAGAATTTATTTAACCTTCAGCTTGTTTTAAGTGGACTTCTCAAAAGATCCTTAGTGACACTCACCCCTGTATAATCTCTTCCCATTGGGTTTTGGAATATCTTATGAATATGATCATTCCTGTGATTGTATTTCTTTATATGGAAAATGAGAATTATCCAGTGTGGGCCTGACCTCATCAGGTGAGCCCTTTAAAAAAGGAGATTTCTCTGGCTGATTGCAGAGGAAAAGTCCAATACATGAAGTTGATTTATATATTTAGTACAAATATCTAGTTGTTTATGGTAGGAAGGCAAATCTGGTACTAGTTACTTGATCATGGATTTTAAAATTCACTTAATTTTACATAATTTGGAGCTCACTAAATCCTGCTATTATTAGATGATCTATAAGACTATGGAAAACTGAGTTGGAAGGAAAGGAATTAAAAGAGATTAGTCAACTATATCCCCAAAGTATGAAAACCGCTCTTTTTTACCTTTTGTTTTTAAGTTATTTGGAAATATTTCAGATTAATGAAATATATATAGAATACTGTAATAAACTTCTATATACCCAACAATCAACTTAAGAAATAAAATATTGATATGGTTGAGGCTCTTGTGTCCTTCTCTCAATTTCATACTCCTTGTAGAGATACCTGAATTTAGTGTTATTAATTCCATGTGTTTCTTCACATTTTACTTCATATATGTGCATCCTTAACTTTATCTCTACATTTTTTGAAATTTATTTTAATAATGTTAATATGCAGCATTTAGGGGGTTTCCTTTTTTGTTTGTCTACTGTGGTGAGAATGAAAAACTGATGTGTGCTTAGATTCCGTTGTATGAATACAGCATGATTTATTTATCTACTCAACCATTAAGAGACATTTAGATTGTGTCGAATTTTTTGAATCAATGAATGCTGAAATTAACTTTCTTTCATGTGTATGTGACTTTACAGTGAAGTCACTAGATAATAGAGTATATGAATCTTTAAATTACTAGATATGGCCAGTTCTTCATCACAGTGGTTTTCCCAGTTTGCACTCCCACTGTAAGGATTCTGATTATTCTCCATCCTTATAACTCTTGGTATTGTCAGAATTAAATTATGAATAGTTGTATAAAAGAGAAATTCTACCTCATCGTGATCTAAATTCATCTTTCCCTGGTTATTGATCAGGTGGGACACATTTTAATATATTCACTGCCAGATTGTAATGGAGATTACTGTTCCCCAATATGGCCACTACAGTTTCTCAAACCTCATCAGGTTGACATAAAAATCTAACGTCTAAAGTCATAAGATGTGCTATGAAAATTTTTCCCAAATATGAAATTATTCCTTGCATCACTTAAATTATTTCTGGTCATCACAGCATGATACTTGCCAACACTCTAATTGTACCATGCTCAGTTATGGCAGTCTTAGCTTCTCTCACTCTGGTTTTTCTGGTTATAGAAAAAACAAGAAACCTTAAGTCATTGAAGCCAAAATTTATGAGGAAGAATGGAACATTCCTCTAGCTAAGACTGGCTAATAATAGCAGAATTTGGTGAATTCCAAAGAGCCTGGTGTATTGTGTATAAAAATACTGCAGGATTTTTGTTTGTTTGACTAAGCCTGGTGGTGGAATCTCCATTACTGGGAATGTTCAAAGTGCCTCAGATAATAGTTTGAACAGAATGATTAATCTGACTGTGTCGGTGCTTTGCTGAGGGATGGATCCATATAATTTTGAAGGTTCTTCCTCCCTTTGTTCTGTGCCTCAGTGAGGAACCCATCCACTGAGCTTTCACCGATTAGTTCTACTGCCACGATCGAAATTTACCAAAAAATTTATTTTGCTGTATTTTCTAAATGGATAATGAGTAAAATTGTATCTTTTTACAAATACATCATTAGCAAATTATTTCTTGTAAAATAAACCAGAACAATTCTCCCAAATCTATTCTTGGGGCTTAATGGCTATGACTTTGAGCCCAGGGAATATGTTTTCTGCCCTTTCCATAATTTGAATTATCATTTGCCAAGCTGTATTACGGTATGCTGCCCGCCTCCTCGTGTAGCCTGAATCATCAATACTTTTACCCCTACTTTAGGAATTTCACAAATAATTGCGTTCTAGCGTTTCAGTATTCTCTCTGTGTGATAGTCCAAGTAAACGTAGCTGATGTAAGTAATTCAATTTGTAATTGATTTGGGAATGTACAAGTGGTTGTTGTCCTTTTGGGGGGAAGATGCTGTGGGTATCTAAGTTTACATTACATTGGAAAGATTTTATTTCATGAAGACTGAAAACCTGAGAAGGAGGTCATTTGGTCAAGTTTGACAACAGAAAATTGCTCCGTTTCAGTCTTGATTATTACATTCAGCTGATTTCTCTATGACTCACAGGCTAGATGCTTTCTACCACTTCCTTCAGTAGAAAAAAGTTTTTAATCTAAGAGATGAAATCATAGGAAGGTTTCTTCACATTTAGACTAAATTGTCTCGTTTATTATTGATCTTTTTCTGATCTTTTTCTTTGCACGTCTTAGATGCTTCTAGACGCACTAGTCGATAGAACTAAACCACAGATGTGATGTTTTAAAATAATGGACATGTCATTCTGAGAATTGGTACAGCTTTTCTGTTGGGCCTATTGTGTCTATGCATGTTTTGCATTTGTCTTTAGGTGAGCAAGAATGGAAGTAGAGCTTGTAAGATGGATTTTCTCACCTATGATGGCAAGTTGTAAATATCTTACTCTGTTTTTATTTGCAGTGTCAGCCCTTTAAATGTGCGTCTAATTCTCTCTTACCCTGTGTCGTGTGGCAAAGATGTAGCTTACGTACTGCCCTATAACTTGGGTCTCTTTTGATCGTATGGACTAATGCCACCCGTTGTCTCCTTCCAGGTTATCCAAGCTGTCTTTTTTGGCATCTGTGTGCTGACCGATCTTTCCAGTCTTCTGACTAGAGGAAGTGGGAACCAAGAGCAAGAGAGGCAGCTCAAGAAGCTCATCTCTCTCCGGGACTGGATGCTGGCTGTCTTGGCCTTCCCTGTTGGGGTTGTGAGTATGACATAGAATGCATTTAACCACAAGAGAAACTTGGATCTTATTTCAGACTTCTAAGAGGGAAAAAAGAGCTCGTTATAGGTTTCTGTACTGGGGCTGACATAGCAAAGTGCCACAGGCTGTGTGGCTTAAACAACAGAAATTTATTTCCTCCCAGTTCTGGAAGCTGGAAGTCTGAGATCGAGGTGTCCACAGGCTTGATTTCTTCTGAGGCCAGTCTCCTTGATTTGTCAGAGGCTTCCTTTTTGTGTCTTCACGTGCTTTTTTTTTCCCTCTGCGTGTGTCCCTGTCCCAGTCTCCCCTTCTTATAAGGACACTACTCATACTGGATCAGGGCCCCTCCATGATCTCACTTAATCTTAATTGCCTCATTAAGACCCTGCCTCCAAATACAGTCACATTCTGAGACACTAGGAGTTAGAGCTTCAATGTATGAAGAGTAGGGGGACAAAGTTCAACCCATAACAGCTTCTTAAGCAGCCCTAACTTAAAATGTATGTTCTGTGGGGCTATGACTGTTCTAGTATTATTAAATTTGGGAGAGGAAGTCAGTATCAGCTCATTCTTCCCTCACCCAAAGGAGCCATTAGCTAATATCACTTAAGTAAATGCTGCTTAATGTTTGAATCTATTTTGGCTTCATTGATTTTCATTGTTTGCAGTTAGATTCCCTCCACAGCTTAACTTCCTTCACAGATCTGTTAATCACCCATCGTCTGTACGGAAACCATGTTTCTTTAAAGGGCCATGGCCCCATGAGATTCTATAGTGTCTACCCTGTGTATAGCCAGAAGGATGAGCAAGCGCTTGTCAATTATGAGAAGTAAGAGTGTGTTACCCAATTCAAATTCAGAACTGTCATTGGCCAGCTGATTTCTGGGGAGAACAGAAGCCCGTGTTCCACATCCAGGGTCCTTTGTAGGCAGAGTCAGAGGCTGTTTTTTTAAATCCTTCCAATGGCTCTTGTTCATATTTGCCAGATTTATACCTGGCAGAAGCCTCTTGATGCTTCTTTTAAGACCAGTTAGTGGGCACCCAGACTATCACTGAATTACTTTTCCTATATATCGAATCGTGTTTTCTTGGATGAAACAGCCCTTAGCTCTTGACATAAACACAAGGGGAGCAGTACCATCTGGCCACACTTCTCTGCTCATTCCCTCATCCTTATCTTCTGGAAACCTAAATGAGGGCTTAGATTGACGCCATCTAACAAATCTCTCAAATTCTGTTGCTTAACATCACAGTCAGTTGCTTTATATATTGTTTAGTATTTCTTTCTTTGGATTTGCCTTTCAAAATTCAAACACTTTTTATTAGCGTAATCACCTAAGAGAAAATTTTCATTGGCATAAACTGCGAAGACCTATACTTTCCATGTGAAAGAATTGTCTAGAAAATCCAAATCTGTATATTTTGTGTTTCTTTTCACCGGCTACTCCCTTGGAATTACCGTAGGCATGTCATTGCCTCTGGAAGTCTTCCTTGGCTAGAAGGAAAACAATAGTAACACAGTACAAAAGTAAACAGAAATACAGTATTGACGGATTTTCTCTTTGCTCCACCTCCCCTTCTGTTATGTGGTGTCGGATTGCGTCTCTAAGGGCTTAAGTTGTATGTCTTGCCGCTCTCATCAAAGGCTCATTGCATATGCCCTTTAGACATCCATGACATTCCTTTGGCCAGAAACTTTCTGCACCTGCTTGAGACTTGAGATATTTGTCCGCCTTCAGTATCCTTCCTAAATTTAGTCTGTGTTTGCTTCATGATTTGTAAAAAGAACAGGCGTCTTTTTGTTGGCTTGTTTGATTACATCTGATGTTTTCCTTCATGTTTCACTAGTGTTGTCATCTTATCTGTATTTTGAAAGAGAGGAGAGAAGTAATAATACCTTTGATTTCACCTTCACCCCCTTTTAAACCGGAAGTCCTAATAGCGTATGTTCATTACGTAATGTATTCACTGCATACATTGCATAACGTATGCACCTCCCCTCGTCCCCTCACTGACGAGCTTCACAGAAGAATTCAAAGAATAAATAATGAATCAGAGATGTGCAGTTTCACCGATTCCTTTAACTCTTATTTTTTTCTTGCCCACTGACATTTTATAGTCAATATTTATGTTTTTCATAAACTTCTCTGTTATTATGAGTCATTTTCCCTCTTATAGTAACTAGCCTTTTATTTTTTCTGAATTTGTTGGAACCTCTCTCTCTCCCCCACCCTCTCTTTTCTTTCCTGCTCTTTTTCTTTTTCCGTCTGTCTCTTTAATATTAGGACGAATCCCAGCCAATAATCCCCTTACATGGTCCACTGTTTCTTACTCTGTCATTTGATGTTTTGTATCCGTTTTCCTGATTTGTCCCTCTACTCCACAGAAATTCATTCTGAGGCAAAAAACTGATAAATGCCTTCTTCCTAGACCCCATTAATTTGATTGTGAAGTCATATTTACTGGGGATATGGATTTGGCTGTTTCTAATCATTTTAACCCAAAGTATTTGTTCATTAAAATATGGAGTTTTTTTGATTTTTAGCCTGTCTTTCCCCAGGGTTATTTCTCAGCTTTCCTTTCTGGTGAGCCCTAGTCTGTGCTGCAACTTCTCGGGTCCCCGTCTCTTCTGCCTCCCGCATCTCTCCCAGCTGCTCGATAGGGTCTGGAATTCCATGGTAGTTTCATCACTTAAGATCTCCTTCCTTGTTAAAATGTGAACTCTTCCTGAAGCAACGCCACTAGGAATCACTTGAAAAGATGTCCTCCTTATTCTTCCTGTGGCTCCCGGCCTGGGAGGGAGGTGCCTGGCCCAAAGAGTGTGCCCAGGACCTGTAGGCATCTGTAGGGTAAAAGCGCCTATCATGTGAGCAAATGGTGAGTTATCCCATTTGTAATTAAACACCTCGTACCACGTTGGTTGACACAGTCTAAATCCTAAAGGGCAGACCCCAACGCTCTCCCTGTGCCCAGAAAGCCTGGGGTGTGGTTCAAGCTTTCTTTCCTAGGAAGGCGCAGAGGCCCCACATAGAAGCCTGCACTTGGTCCCCAGAGGCCTCCAGGCTCCGACTGCCCGCCAGGTGACTGCCAACCTCCCAGAGGACTTCTATTCCCCTTCCTCCTGGCTCCCTTGGCCCCACGCCTTTTGTTTGTGACCCACAAGTTTGCTGGCGAAAGCAATGTTATTTTTGCTTCCTGATGCAGGGCAAAAAGGCCACAGGCATAAAAAGAGGGCAGGATGGCAGCCGAATGTCTCACCTCTGCTCACATTTTCCCAAAGACACCTCTTAGCCCCGAGCTTTTCCTCGTACTCCCATGATCTCTCTCTCTCACCTCAGCTGCGACTCTGGCAACAAGAAAGGCCCGGGTAGCTTCTCTAGGATTTGCATTTTCTCCAATAATGCTTCCTCCAATAATGAGGTTAATTGAGAGACAGCAGTAATGGCTTTATGTGGACGAGAAGCACTAAATATGATTTTGTGACCCATGGACCTGATGCATCGGCTTCATGGACTCTCTCTCAAGGATATATAAAAATAATGAAACATTCCAATCCAAGATAACTGGGGTAAAGCTTTGTTTCAACATAACCTTGAGGGAATCAAGCAGAGTTGCTTGAGTGAACATAGCATGTATCATCCTGATTTGTGTAGATTCCCATAAATGCAAAGCTGGCCTTGATTAGTAATGCTAATGGCCGGAAACCGCCACCACTCCCAAAGCCTTGCAGCTCATTTTGCAGGGATAACCCCTGGGAGGCTCTTCTTACCATGTGCAGTTCATTTCTGAACCCTGTCACCCTTTTAAAGAAGCATTACAAATAATTCTATGACATTATGTGGTCTGGAAGCACTGAAGTTTATTAGGAGCAATCAAACCAAGAATGTCTTTTGTCTCCTGTGAGTTTGTTGACTTTCGTGCTGGCAGATACTCTTCTAGTTAAGAGAATAGGCTAAGTCTTCCAACCGAAAAGAGAAAGAAAGAGGAAGAGTAGCAAGAAGCAAAATAATGAATATAATGAGTATGAAATTACTTCTTTCAAGAATCCGATGTGTCTCCAATTGCTATCCAAAGCAGCCTGTTTAATGACAAAGAACAATCATACACTTTCAATTAATTCAAGACTAGGCATCCCATCCCATTCATCCACGTGGTGTGTTGCGCAGAATCAAGTCTCACCGCCTCCCCGGTACACCCTTGTCCCAGGAGTCCCTCGGGTTACTCTAGACTAGATGCTGGGTTCCTGCTTAACTAACCTTGACTGATGGGTGAAGATGAGGATGTCCCTCTCTCAGTAAAAAGCTGGTGGGTCCAAGAAGGTCTTGGAAATGTGGACCAGTTCTAATCTAGGACGGGATCCAGGGTATCTTGAGTTTGCATGTGCCAGGATGAGCTTCTCTAGAATTTGAGCTCTTTGAGTTTAGTCTCAGAGCTATTTGTTAAGTAACCGTTTCAGGTGTTATAATCGTGTTCTTGTAAAGACTTTGTGAAGATTTTTCTTGTAACAACCTAGTCTAGAACCCTTTAAAACTCGTTTTTGCTTGTGGTGGGTCTGTACCGCACCTGCTTCCGTAAGGAAACATGGAAAATGGAACTTGAAATTTCAAATACACACTCAAAGAAAAAGTATCTAGCAATTATTTTCAAGAAGTGGTTCTTCAAAGCCTTCATTTATTGACATACTAGCTCACTCTAAGACATCTTTTAGAAAAATTTTGTGATGCGTATAAGTTTAGATCATCATACATACCTCTGCAATTTAAAAAAAAATTTTCATTTCTGATTTTTAAATGAAGAGATTGGCTTAAGTGGAAAGCAAATTTACCAATTAATATTAGTTACTTATATTAATGTCTGTGAATGTAACACAAAGGAAGGGAATTTGATTCTATTTGAAATTGTAAATAAAAGCAAATGCCTTTCCTTCTGTTTTGATATTAAGGGGAAATGCAGGATGTAATACATTTAATATCTGCTGATCCTCTCTTTATTAAATTTTT